AATGATATGAAAGTATTAGTCCTAAGGCAAAAGATATTTTAAATAGATTAAGTGAAAATAGCGATTGACCATAAAAGAGATCACCCCTGGGATCCGAGCATGACAAAGAGGGTGAGACACTACTGCTTCTAAAAACAGTACCGTTACACTCTGCAAAATTTTAGATATGTACAGCGATTGCTTCAATAAAAAATCTGAAGAATGATAAAGTATAGGTGTTTTTCCTATTTTTGGATAGAGAAGGATCATAAAAGTGAATTCAGTAAAAGAGATTATGAAGGAGAAGTTGAATGGTCCTATCTACCTTAAAAATTAAAACTTTTTTACTTTCTTCATATGAAGACATTAAATAAATTTGAAAGGAAAATGAACTGGAGATATTTATACTAACATATGACAAATATGTGGCTTATATCTTCCATATGTACAGCAGTCCTCTATAAACCGATGAGAGCGCGCTAACACCCCTGACAGCAGGGCCTCTGATTACCACCAAAGACTCTTCAAGAGATTTTCTATTTTGATTTGAAATAATTATATCATCTTTCACATCAAGTCATCCTTAAAAATTGTGAAGATAGAAGAACAAATGCCATTTTAGTGTCTCTTCTTTAGCTTCTTTTTTTGTAGCAGTAGTCCATCTTTTAAATACCTCTTCTCTGGGGATTTTCTCTGAGTCCATCATTTTAAAGCTTGATATCACTAATTGAGAGTAATATGACACATTGCAAGACAACATGTAGTTTTAAGGATCTGACTGACAGAAAGCGTTATTGCCCCTTCAGGGCCTCACACCCTCTCTCCTCTGCCTGTGACTAAGTAACTCTCATTTCCCTATCAGACCTCGGAACCATCTCTGCCTTATGATGGCCTCCATAGTCTTGTTGGATTATTCTACAGTGGAATTCCACTCATGACACTAGTATCATTTGGTCAACTGTGACTTTCAAGAATAAGTGAGGACTTGGGATTTAATGCCACAGAGGTTATCTTCTTATGTGAGGAATTTTGCAGTTAAAAATGCACAGGTGAAATTGTGATATCTTCCATACTTTCTTGAATAGATTTGTAAACCTTATGGACAATCCTATTGATAATACTCAATGTCAAGATGTTGACGAAATGATGGAAAATGAACGGGATCGCCAACATTTTGATAAAGAAGTTATGAAAGCCTATATTGAAGATCTCAAAGAAAGAGGTGGGTTACTCATATGTAAAATTATTTAAAATGAATATACAGAATGCCACTAACCCATGCAACACATTTATTGACATAAGTCAAATTGAAAAAAAAGTTAATTGGTTAGGAGGCAGGTTATTTGTAAATGGTTTTCCCATTTACCACCCCCC